GACTGTCTGCACTATGCAATGACCTGCATTGATTATATTATATATGTGTATTGTTTTATTCAGCATCATTGAATTATTACAGAAAAATGCTTTGAAAACGACCTTAAAAGTTATTTCCACTGCAGTCAAGGTCTTGAAACCAAAAAGGGTAATGAAGGTAATTCTGTTAAAATCATAAATATAGAGTGACTATTTAGGGATGATATTTTTCTCAGTGTACAAATTTCGCCTGACCGTGGTGAGGTTCCTGCTTCTTTGCTCCAGGGCATTTACGACCTCATATGAACTTTCCTTCCAAAATTATAACAAAGCCATGTAATGGAAAATTGTCCCGGCTCTTTTTAAAGAGGTGCCATGAAGGAAAAGGAAGCCGGAATGAAAATAACACACAGGCATCACCATAAACCCTCTCCCTGAAGCAATGCCACTTCATTTAGGGTTTCAATTAGAGATTTTTAAAATGTGTGTTATGTAATTTTCCGGCTGTGAGTAGATTACTGTAGCTTGCTCCTATGGTCATTTGCCTGCAGACTTCTACTTTTTCCACTCTGTAAGGTACTAAACCAGTGAATAATGACCATAAGTCAATCCACTTTTACTGCAAAGGAAAGCTTTATTCCGCCCTCCAAACTTCTCCAAGCAGTGACCCACATTTGCAGAATTGCACACAACTTGAAAAAGATCCTACAAAAAAACGTTTTACTTAAGTAAAAGTAGCAATACTTAATTTGTAAAAGTACTCCGTTACAAGTGAAGTGCCTTCAAAATCTTAGTAAAAGTATAAAGTATCAGCATCAGAATATACTTAAAGTACTTGTAATGCTTAAGGCCAATTTCAGAATTATATTAAATGAATGGATTATGATCAGTGGTTGAAAAAGTATTCAGATCCTTTACTTAAGCAAAAGTAGCAATACATTAATGCAATACATACAGTCTCACGTAAAAGTACAAATTCTGTGGAAAAATTGCCTCAATATGTGATATATTATTAAATATATGACATTATCTGGTATATTCATATTGTTGCATTAAGAAGCATTTTACTGTTGACGTAGACGGGCAACATTTTCTTTCACAAATTATCAATGTTAAGAACCTTTTGCGATATATTGTATAATTGTAATTTTTTGTACCTTAAACAGTTAGTACAAGTGTTTCATTCTTAAAGATGCATTATGTTACAAGTTAATCAATTATTTGAATACAAAACCTTAACCTGAAAAGTCACTAAAGCTTAATAAATAATACAGTGATTATTAAACGTAGTGGAGTAAAATGATATTATGTATTAAGTACAGTACTTGAGTATATGTAGTCTGTTACTTTCCATATGGGCAAAAGCCAACTGAACAGGATGGAATAAAAGACAGCGGGTAAGCGATAAATGTAAAGAGAGAGAGGAGAGAAGGACGGTAGTGGGGGGCCGCAGTAGACGAGTCATTTAATAAATGTCCGATCTTTTCTGGAAAGTGTCATATGTGGGAGTTTGGGCACTCCCCAGCATTTATTTAGCTTGACATCAGCCGCAGCGCCAGAAGCAGAGACACAGGATTTACAGTGTTCAGGACTGGCTTTGGTTCACCGGTTCCTTCATATATCACCGGCAGGACTACAGTACATTTATACAGCACAGGTGCTGCGTGTCTGTTGTCTGTATGTCCTAGTTTATTCTGTATAGAAAAACAAATTGGATTGGATTTTGCGAAGGAATTGGGTTGAAGCTAAACACCTCATTGCTTTTATGTTGTATTTACATTAGACTAATCTTTGTCGAGTCATTTATAGTTTTACTTGTTGTGCTTTTTTATTCTTCCACTGTTTTTTCCAATGTACACTTTTTACCTCTGCCTTATATTTTTCCCTTCGTTAGTCTGTTGATGATTTATTTACTGTCCTTCGCTTTGTACGTATAGATCATCCTTAAAATGCAGGAGTTTATTTGTTCGATGCACCATTGTTTAAACTTCCTGCGAGCAGCTGTTGTTTTTTTGTGACAGATAGATGAGAATGTTTATTGGCGTATTATTTATTTATTGTGCGGAAATGGAAAAAGAGGGCTAGAGGCCATGTTCACAAACGGTGCCTGGGAAAGAAAAGAAACAAGGCAAGCAGCCAGATTTCCTCTGGACTTTAGTTTGACAGAACAGGGAAAGGATAGTTAAGATACTGTATATACTGTTTTCTTTTTTTTTAAGAATATTGGCTTGGATTTCTCCCTTTTTCCACTAATCTCATGTCCTAGTAGCTGGTTTTCTTTCACCAGATCCCTTTTAGTTTCCAGCCAGTTTCATTTACTCTGCCTTTCTGTGCTTACTCAATGCGTTGACAGTCCAATGTAAACTGTCTGACACACGACAGATCGATATCACAGCATACTCACTCTTTTAGCAAATTATACACAACATCAAAAGCTTTTATTTTTCACTTAAATCGTGCCTTTGAGTCAGAACAGTAACTCTTCATGGTACATTTCTTCTTCCTTCTTTTATCAAGCTTTGATCTGGAGGCAATTGGCAAAACCCCCATGATACAAACTCCCAAAAATATCCAAATGATGCCTCCAGAAGAAAAAAAAGTCCCTAGATTCCCTCTGGCTGATTTGTGTGAAGGCATGTTAGTAAAAGATCTGCCCCAAAATGTCAGCCTTAATATGAATATTAATGGGTTTATGGGAGTAATGGAGAAAGACAAGGTGTAGTAGACACAAAGGGGACACAGGTCTGTGTTTTTCAAGGGTGTGCCCTTTAACTAATGAAGAAATGATATTTCCCTCCATCAATACCTTCACCACATACACATACACACACACACCCACGGAGCTGCATTGCAGGTGCAAATGACCTCTAACATAATGTCTCCCCAACAGCTTTCATGCTTAGTAATACACCCAGAGGAGATGCCCACCACCATGCAATAGAGCAGCCTTTACCCTCCCTGTCCTCAGTATTGTATTTTAAATGTATCTGCATTCTGCTGCTAATGAGCCTGGGAACACTGTCATTTTATGCTTATCACAATTAAAGCTGCAATATAAGTGCCCCGTTTTTTAAACTGATTAAACAATAACTGCATTTATCAGGTTCCCTGTACACCACTGGGTGAATTTATACAATGTAATATAGAAACGATAGCTCTGAATAGATGCATAATTTAAGACATTGATATACAACAGCCATTAAGTTAATGATTGTGTTATTAAGTGTTTATGCTTATAAAAGTTATGTGCAGAAACTATTTCTTATGTCCCAAATAACTGTTTTGTTATGGCTATAAAAAGCGTTCTTTTTTTATATCCAAAGCTTCTTTTGATGTTTCAAATGAAGGTTATTGTGGTTATAGAACTATAATGTATGGTGCTGTAAGATTGAAACACTAATAGATATGGGTTGAAACTGAATAATTCTTAAGATAAAAACAAGTTGGGATTTGTTTCTATACATTTTGACTTTGATTTTTTGGGAAGTGTTTTGTAACAATTCTAGTCAACCACCACTGGCATCTAATTCTACAGATGATCCAATACTAATAATATTATTGTACCCTAATGTATTACTGAAAAAGAATAACCAGGTTTAAAAGAACAAAGAAGAATCTAAGCAGAATTCAAATGTTGATTTAGTATTTATAATCATAGTTATTAATTAAGCTTTAAGGTGGAGTCACTTTTTTACTTTAAATAAGAGGTAGATAGTAGGTAGGACATTGTCATAGTTACAAAAAAATTGTGCATAACAATTACTAAGAAGAGAGCCTTTTAAAATAACATTACATAATGAGAAGTTCTCAGGAAAATTCACATTCAAGGTAAACAATTTGACTGAATATCTTAAATACTCTTGTATCATTTGCATGGAAAGTGTTTCCTTTTTCTATGGCTGGATTTGCTATTAAGAAGCTTGGATTGTGTTATTGCTCTCAGTGATATTTGTTACTCATTGGGTATGAATTGCTTTGATGTTTTGCAAGCCAGTTACCAAGCAATACCTTTACATTGTTTAGTTTTCTACATCACTAAGAGGTAAATAAGTAGCTGTTAATGTTAATCTGGGAGTAGTGAGCATCCCTTGTGTTCTGTCCAACCGTCTGTCAGCATCACCAATGTTTCAAAACAGTGGAACCCAGCAGAGCTAGCATCAGAGTGAGCCCAACAATCCATAGAGAGGTTGGGTCCCATCGCATCGAAGCCTCCGTGGTGGCATGCCAGCTTCCTAGGTGCTCACTGAGCCTGTCAGCTTCAATTTCACACGTCATAAAGCAGGCCCTGCTTCAGAGCAGAGGACCACAGTGCTGCCCGGCCTCACACTGCAGCATCAGCCCGCTGCAGGAAACACAAGACAAGCTGCAATCACTTCATTGAATATCGTCATCCTTCCTCAGTTTAAAGAGAACAGTCTGCTATCTGACCAAACTAAATGAGCACCAAAGCATGTTAAACATTTCCACATTAAGAGATGTAATCGTTTAATGTGTGTTGGCTGGGAAGTAGCATTTTTTTCAGTGGTTCAATACTGGATATGATGATGGCAGACTCAAAGCATAACAGTGATGTGCTATTTAAAGTTTAAAGCATGAGTAACTCTTGGGGTAGGGGGGGTTAGTTGTGCATCAGGAGATCAGTTGGCTGATGAAGTGAGAAGAGGCTGCCTGTTGTGCCTTAGTGTTCTCCTGTTAGATCAGCTTGTTAACACTTTAACAACAGCTGCGTCTCTGTCCCAGATCGTGTCAAGTACACCGCGACACAGAATGATCTGAGATATTCTGAGAGCTGCATACAGTCTGCAGTGTGTTCTCCACTATAATGGATCTATGCTCGTCATGCTTAAATTGCAAAAAATTACAATTAAAACTTCATCGAGGACTTTTTCTTGAAATCATATCTCAGTTACTCAAATGAATCCAGAGACCTTGTGAGCACTTTCATATATTTCAGAACCTTTTTTTTTTCTCCTTGGCACTCTTTCTGGTGAGAGCAACATTCAGCAATTTTTTTTAATTAGATGGTCCAGTAAAAAGCACTGTGGTTGGCAACTATCACAGATGTAAATGTTCTTTATTTAAGCTATGAGCCTTGAGGAGTGTTGTGCACTCTCCTTAATGAGTGTTGTTTTTGTTGTCCCGGTTGCAGGGCCACAGAGAAGATCCTGGGCAGGGCGCGGCAGCTGGTGGACGTCAAGAAGGAGGACGGCTTCTCCGCGCTGCATCTGGCCGCGCTCAACAACCACCGCGACGTCGCCGAGATCCTTGTCAAGGAGGTGAGCTGCAGCAGAGTCCTCTTTAATCTGATTGGATACTTTGCTTAACTGGGATCTTATTTGTTTTTGTTTTTTAAGGAAAATTAACAAAAACTAAGAGAATTTAAAGGTCACAACTTTTACGATTCATTAAGATCAACTGGTGTTAGAGGCTTTAAGAGAAAATACTGGAAAGAGTACTGGCGTGATGAAGAGGAAAAGGAAGTGATGAAGGGAAGAGTCAAGAGGGCCCAAAAAAAGAGACATTTTTAATGCATATCATACTAAACTTATTTTCTTAGAAATTATGAGCTAAATGAAATAATATTATTTGAATGTGTCATAAATAGAAAAGTATGATTTGCTTAAAAGATTCTCTAAATATATATTAGTATATTAAGTCATAACAATTAAATATTATAGTGTGTTATACAAATATAATAGTTTAATATGTGATAAATATATAAAGTATACTATGTAAATGAAATATAAAAGTATTGTATGTCATTGAAATGTAATAGTATTTGATGTAATTTCAATATAATAGTACAATATGGTAGTACAATTTGTAGCCACAATTATTTTCAACCTTTGAAATTTAAATAAAAAAGATGATATACATATTTCCTCTCCTCCCTCTTCCACAGGGACGCTGCGACATCAACATCCGTAACAACCGGAACCAGACGGCGCTGCAGCTGGCGGTGACGCAGGGCCACACGGACCTGGTGCAGCTGCTGGTGTCCGAAGGCGCCGACGTCAACATGGAGGACGAGGACGGAGACACGGCCATGCACGTCGCCCTGCTCCGCCCGCAGCTGGCCAGCGTGATGCTCAGCCCCCCCGTGGGGACCAGCAGCACCGAGGAGCCCAGCGAGGGGTGCTCCTCCACATCGCTCTACTGCAGGGTGAGAACCACTCTTTGTTTTATGTAACTAATGTTTTATTATTTCTTTCTATATGAGCAACTAGATGTATGTGTATTTGGTCTAGCTGGTTTAGGGGAAAACTGGCAGTTTTACGTCATATTATATTTATATTTAAGAAATGATATATAAACCTATAAAAACATAGCATTTTCAATTGACTATTCGTCGCCCAAACTTGCTGATGATATATCTGTCTTCATTTACAGACCATAGCAAATAGTATTCATTTGATCTATTCAAACCTTAACTGACGTTATTCTGTTATTATTCACATTACTCGAATGGAAAGAAGTTAAAATGTAACGACAGCAATCGAGTGATGCTTCACCTTTGAACTCTAGGTATTGTTGGGACAGAATGAGCTGAAAAGAGACGACACAACTTTCAAAAGACCTGAAGGTTACACACACTTGCGACTGTTGGGGGTCTAACTACAAACTGAATAGGTGGTTACTAAAGAGACAAAGCACAACAAATCAAACACTAAAGGAGTATGTGAAACATTAAAAGAGAAGTAAATATAGACTGAATGAAGGATAAACAGACACTAAATAGCGGGTAGATTAGGATAAGAGGTGGAAAAAAGGATTAATGCACTTTAGAGACTAAAAGGAGCGTAAATAAAAGACTTAAGGGTTAAGAGCTGACCTTATATTGAAGGAGGGAGGGAATAGTAAACAAAAACAGAGGGAAGGAATGTAAAGGTGTTTAGTAGGGCGTGTGGCGTAGTGGGTTAGTCCGTAGGTGTTCGGATCAGGGGAGCACAGGTTCAAACCCCACTGCAGTCAGCATGTTGTTGTGTCCCTGAGACACTTCACCCCAAATAGCTCCTGTGGGATTGTCCACAGTATTGAGTATGTAAGTCACTTTGGATAAAAGCGTCTAACAAGTACCATGTAATGTAGTAATTGTGTGCAGGGTCAATTTAGGATAAAGGAGTTAGTCGGCTTTAGCAGGTACACAGGGGATGAATGTGTAAGAGAAGTCAGATGGGATTCCTCAAAGGTCTGGGTTAACTGAAGAGAGAGGACATTGTTTAATTATGTAAACAAGGCAAGAGAGAGGGGTTAACTGAGGAGAACGTCATTAAATAAAAGTGGTATTAGTATGTAAGATAAAAGAGTTTGTTTTGTACTGCTTTCTTTTCTGGAGAAAAACCAACACAATTATTTTTTATATCCGCAAGAATTTAAGCTATAAGGTCACGACTTTTACGATTCATTAAGATCACCTCGTCTCAGAGGCTTTAAGAGCAAAAACTGGCAAGAGACTGAGAACGATGGGGTGATGAAGGGGAAAAGGAAGTGATGAAGGGCAGAGAGGCAAGAGGGCCCACTTAGTGTTGCAATGTAGATTTGGCAAAGACAAGCTCTCGATAATACATTTAAATTTAGAAATACTGTGTACACACAACATGTCAGTCTCTCCCCCAGAGGATGTCTTGAACTTTGATATGAACACACTTAATTCATTTGAGCCTCCCATGTATCACAACTGCAGTCAACAACTAACTAGTATTGGCAGCGTTAATATTTATTAAGGCAAGCAAGCATAATGAATCATAAATGCAGCTAAACAAGCTCTAAATGAAAATAAGGTATGCATGCGATTATTAATTGGAGTTTAGTAGCATTAAACTGGATTGAATAGATGTTTACCTCTTGGGTTCAGCAGAACAAACTGTAAACACAACACTGACACACGATCGCGTTATAAAATCCCAATGGTGAATAATATCAGGTTATCAAGCTGCTTTAAATGCTTTACTTTTTTCATCAAATGTGTCTGATTGCTTTTTGGTGCTGAGCAGGTCCCATACATCTCAGGATGTGAGTCATAAAACCAAGACAAGAGGCTGAAAGCCTCTCAAATTCTGTCTCAAGCTAAAGTTAGGTAATTTTTTCTGTTAATCATAACCAATATGATATTTACATTTGAACCGGGATTATTGCTAAAAGTAAGACATGTAGCAAGAAAAAGGTAATGGTACGATTTACAAATGAACACCTTGTTTATGTTTTCTGAAGCTTAAATACCACCACCAGAGGCCGGTGGTGTATACTACGAAGCAGGATTTTCGCTTAGCCGGCTAACTTCAGGGAAAACTCTGGGTTTCCGGTCCTACGAAGCTGGTTCTCTTTTTAGCAGGCTAGATCTCCATGGTAACTTATGCTGTGCGGCTAACCTGCCCCGGAGCAGGTTAGGTTGCAGGCTAAGAGCTCAACTCAGTGAAAGCACCGCCTGCTGACCAATCAGAGCTCAGTGTGCGGAGTTTAAAGCGATCAAGTCATATTACAGGAGAAAGGAAATACAGAAAAGCTGCCGTTACAGGAAAGACGGCCGGCAAAAATCACCGACTGTGTGAACGTGAACACTAATAGAATATCACCTCCCATCTCCAGAGCAATCTACTATTATAACATTAGCGTTAAGAAAGCTTACTTAAATATCTGTCACAACATAAGTAACCGGATCAGAGTAACATTAAGTACAGTCCGCGGCATATCACATCATAATGTATCAATATCTGTTTATTTATATAGCCCAATATCACAAATGTTACATTTGTCTCAGTGGACTTCACAGTTTGTACAGAATATCATTATGACAATACGACACCCTCTGTCCTTAGACCCTCACATCGTACAAGGAAAAACTTCCAGAGAAAA